GTCTACGAGAAAATTTTCAATAGTTCTGTAAATTGCTCCTATAATCGAATCACAATTACAACAAAATGGTTAAATTACTCGTATATCAAAGGATGACGATTATCAAACTAATTATCAAAAGTGTCAAATACAACGAAAATGTCACAAATATATAAATTTTCCACTAATGCGAAGGTTATAATAAATGGAATAAAATTGAAATTTAATTAAAATAGAATTATTGCAAACCCTGGACTCCGTATGTCACGAAAAATTTGTCGAACACATCGCGCTCACGGAACTATTGTCACCTGTAAAATATAATATAAAAGATCCTGAGTTGTACTGTGTGGTACTATGGCTATGGAGTTCGGCGATGCCTGAGATGGCTTTATCTTCATCATTCATATATTTAAACAAAGAGATTTACATAAATTGCTTCAGAAGTTATGTTACGAGTAAATACAAAACAATTCCTAAGCCAAATGTTGTATACTATTCTCTGCTTTGCAAAACCATAATATTGTTAAAATACCGATCAATACAGTCCAATCTGATTATAAAAATTTATCCAATATTAATCAGTACCTCAAAATATTATAGTATTTTATACACACAGAAAATACTCTCATAAGATATAATAGTTTTAACCTAGGAATCCTCTCATAATAAATTAATTTAATTTTACCAAAACTCCTTAATGTTTTTCAATAATTACAAAAATTTTAGTCCTCAGAAAGTTAATAAAAGGATCAAGAGACAAGTAACAAACAGTCTCTACTTAATTGAATATGGGAAATGAACTGATAATTGAACTGTAAAATATAATACTACACAACTTATTTGAAATAAGTTATTTTGAAATTACTCAATAATAGATAAAAAAAAAATCCTTTGTTTGCATCTTTATGTTATCAAATATAAACATAGAAACCTACTGTTCGAATAATAATAATAGTAATAATACTGTTTTTGTTATCACTTTCCATAGAAAAATGCAAGCTAAAAATACTTTTGAAACGAAAATGTACTAGCTACAATACTTTGCAATAGCATTAATATATAAAGGTACTAAAAGAAATTGAGTTGATTTCATGAAGAGGAAGTGGAAACGATTAATCATTTAGCTCTGTAATATCACATTAGAGCATATAAAACTGGAGAATTCTGTGTAAGAAAAGCCACCTCGGACACAAGCCTCTTATAATATATTAAATTCAATCTGCTGCATCACGGTGGTTTCCCATCGTTAACTGTCAATAATAAATCCTCTGTAAATCTGCTTGAGCTGTAAAATCGGTTGGCTGTCTATCGCACCGTTAAACTGCTACGTGGTGAAAAATATATTATAATATGTTCGTACGTCATCCTGGGAGTTTCTGTGCGTTGCACCCAGTCGTGTGACGTATTCAATAAAGTAAATATAATCCTCTGTAAGAATATAATATCGTTGTAAATATCTGTAGTTTATATAACACTGTATAGCATCAAATAAAACAACAAGTTATCCTGGCTCGCGGAATAATCAGTACGAGGTGGGATGGCTACTCCACTTGCGGCAACTGTTTGTGGTTTCTTTCGTGGTTTGTTTAAGGAATACGCTCGCTTTTCCTTACGACGACGAATAGGCACGGCACCTTTTGCGAGTTGTCCTTCAAGGACATCTATTTTATCAATTAGTGTAAGGTGCTGCTAAGAGACTGTCCTTTCAAGCAATGTGCTACATGAGATTTTTAAACTAACCATTCTTTTCAAACCTTTGTATAGTTTCTTATTAAACAAAAAAAACTCATTTTATAAAAATAGATATAACCTTTTAATATGATATAAAAGGATTATAAATTTCAAAATAATTCCAATGTAACATGAATGCAATTTCTTCATAGAATGCAAACTATTAACTAATATTTTTTTTTTCATTTGATGACATAAGAAAAAGAAACAAAATTAAATCTTCCAAGTTTTTTAAAGACTTAATTATGTTTTAACTTCCAGCAAACAAAAATAAGTTTGAGTAAAAACGTAAAAGTATTGTAAAATCATATACATTTAAAATGATCATTAACGTCAGGTAACTTTCTGTATGTTAAAAATTTCTTGGAATTCTTATCTCTTCCATTGCAGCACAATCTTTCAGTCTCTTTGCTACACCTTGGTCTTTCTTTGAAAGACTATGCTCAACTCCCGTAAGAGTCTATGGTTGCCAAAAACCATTGGCATTAATCCTATTCAACCAAAAAACTATCACAAATGGGCCAAAAAAACTAAGGCGCATTAGTGGTATGCTGCATCAAACTGCATCATGTTGCTCTGAAAGTGCTTTGATTCAACACTGGTCTGATTGACCTCATAAGCACCATCCTGGAATGCTCTTGATTTGTTCTCCAGAGTCACTGTGGCTGTGCCCTCTTCTGTGGAAACTCTGGGCGTAGAAAAAGGTTTGATAGTATCTGTTTGCTGCGCCTGGATTTGAAGATGAGTTTGCGCTCCAGTTTGCTGTTGTGCTTTTGGCTGCTGTTGTTGGTAGATTTCTTCCTGACGGTGTCTGTCAGCGACGTTGAGTTCATGGAAGCTGACCAGGTGACGCTTCAGGTAGAGCTTGGTCTTGAATGGCTTGTTACAAAGGGGGCATGTGACACTCTGAGGGTTGTGGATCAGGCGCATGTGCTGACGCAGGTTCGACAAGTTACTGTACATGCGGTTGCAGACAGGACAGGGGCGTGGGTCCAGCGAGTGCAGTTTGCGTAGGTCAGCTGCAACACACACACAACTTGCTCTAACCCGGTAGAGGCAGCACGGAGAAGGGAGTTAATCTTTTTTCTTTGTTTTGTTTATTGAGTGGATTTATGGGTGGGGTCTCCGATTTACCAGCCACCACCGGACAGCAACAACCAGCTGAGAAACCCTAGCTGCACGATTGTTGTATGCTCTATCTTGTTTCACAATGGGATCACTTTTAATTTTTAGTCATGATATTTGAACTATTATTCTTTGAAATTTATTTTTTACATTAAAGTTTCAGTCACTTTCATGTAGTTCACATTTGCTACATTATATTCTAGTAAACATTTTATATTATAAAAATTGTTTTCTTTTTCTAAAAATGTATTCTCATTTACATTAATTGAAATTTCTAATCTGTGCTTAATACTTGATCATAGTATTCAAATCGTTTTATTTAATATCATTTAAATTCAGTTTATGACAGTTCAAAAAACTTCGTTACAATTTTAACACGATAAGTTACTTTATTTCTGTCAACATGTACTAAATTTATTATAAAGACATTCTCATTGCTATCCTCAAATAGTTTTCTCAAACTGTCATGATTTTTTAATGCAATAAAATATTTAAGGTTGGAAAAATATTGGCTGATCCCATTGCTACTTGTCGTGCGCACCACGATATCGCGCATCACCAACGTACACACATCGGAGACAAATGGTAAGCGTGTTGTTATTGGGTATATGAGGCGTGAGAGTCGCGCTGTATCTTCTAAAATTATTTGACATAACTGCTTCTCGACAACACCCTCTTGCGTTCATAAATTTTCGCTTGATATTTATAAATTGCTTATTTTTTAAATCTTTTTAAATAAGTTAATATTATAGTAATATTATTAGACAATTTCAAATGGACATATTTTTTGGCGTAATTATAAATAAAACTTTTTCTTATGCTCCATAAATCATAATAATTCTTATGCTCTATAATAATAGTAACAATCATGGAATTTTATAGTCGAAATAAAAATTACAAAAAAATGTAAATATAAATTTACTGTACTTTGTCTATTTCAAATTAGACTCCAAAATTCAAATTAAAAACTCGTAAACTTTAATCACATTTTAAAAAGCATATTCACATATTAAGAATCTATATTAAAGTATTCATTAACAGCAGTTCAGTTATTTGAACTTTAATTCATATTATGAAGTAACTATAGTGCATTATAGTACGATTAGTGAAGCCAAGGATATTAATTTTTAATTACAACATTGCGGTAAAACACAGACCTCAACCGAGAAGCTTAAATATAATTTAACATCAAGCTTTTGATATATGAGATATATGTATATGGATACATAGAGCAAACAACGCCAATTAGACAAAGTACAATGTTTTAAAATTTGCAGTATGTTAAAAATATAAGAATTTATATGCATTACAAATGTATACATATAGTCAAAATTAATATTAATGGATAACATTACTTCTGCATGAATAAAATTTAAAATTTGTTTAAATAAATAGAAATTAATAATTAAAATTGTTTTGTTTCTAATTGGCATGTCTTCTAACGGACAAAAACGGAAAACGTGGAAGCAACGGACAGGTTTACCAGACGGAGGGATTTGTTCCTTCATATTTTAAAAGTACTTAAAACTTCTTTATATTTGGTTTTCTTTGGACATATATTTATCCTTTGAATATGCAACATTTATATGTGAATTATTAAACTCACAAAAATTTTCAATTATTTCCAATTTAAAGTAAGCGGAAGTATATTTACTCTAAAGTAAAGCTAAACATAATTCACACTATAATCTTCTCTTGATAAACGTTACGATATGTATGATACGATAACTTTTCTTAAATTAGTTATCTGTTATTATGAAACTATAACTTTTTAATATACCCTCCAACTCTGGCAAACAAAATGGACAGGTAGAGCCCGAGTATGTACACACAGCTGATTTTCTCACACAAACAGCCGCAAACTGCACTCCGCCTGGATAAAATCATTAAAAGATCGCCTCCGAGTGTCAAATGTCTCTCTCTTTCCTCCCCCCCCTTTCACTCTCTCTCACTCTCCCTCTCTCTCTCTTTCTCTCTCCTACCGCCTAGCAAGAGCTACCGAGCTACACGAGCTTACCATTTCAAACCGAGGCTCCCCTTCTCCTTCCATGTTTCTACTCGCATCCAAAAAATTCTCTCCGACATGATCGGCTAGGTTGTTGCTGTTTGTAATGGTGCTCGCAACTACCAAAGAATTAGGGTTGGGATGGGTGGTCACTTACCTTGTTGCTCTTGATTTAACTCCGTACTGCTGGCATGAGATGGTCCTGGTAGTCCTCCTTCTAATGGTCCACCACTCCCGCCGCCACCACCTCCTCCTCCCCCACCTGTTCCACTCCCTAAAAGAATTCTTTAATTGAAAACTATATTTCTTATAAAGTATATTTGTTATTTCTTCCGTAACAATATTAAATTTATTAATAAATTTAAAAATGTTTTAACCAGCAAACATCATTGTGTTTTCTGAATACGCTATTTGTCAAGTAGATTTAAACTTGAAAGAATTATTTTGTATACATAAATTGGTTACAATTACCTTGATAAGAAGGTGGATAAGATGGCAAAACCTCCATGCCACCATCAAGGCTGAGGAAACCACTTGGCAGTGTGTTGACCTCCTGCTTTGGAGAACAATCATCGTCGCTTCCATACTCTGGTAATTCTATTTTTGGCTAGAATACAAACAAAATGATAATAAATCTATTTCTTTTCCTTAAGTAATAGTTGCATTGTTCTACACATATATGTATAGTATGTCTGGTTTAAGTGAGAACGGTTAAATATTTGGTAAGCGAGTAAAAATATGAAAAAATTGTTCCCACAAAAGTTTTTTGGTATAAAGAGGCACAATACCATAGGATAGATATTGGGCTGTCCCATAAGTCCTTGCCGGGTTCGTTGTTTTTCGAACGTTTTCGTCTTTAAATCGAAACAGGTCCGAGATGTTTCCAGAATATGCGACTATGTGCGCGAACCTTCCGCGTAATAGGTATAAATTGGCGCGGGGTAATAAGGAGATTAATAGAGAACGAAAATGGAGCAACATCAACTGGAGCGATTATGTTGTATGAATACCGGCTTAACACCTCTTCAACGGAGATGGCTAAGAAGATCAACGCTGCATTCGGGCCAGGTACTAGTAGCGATCAGAAGATACGCTTCTGGTATAAGTGCTTCGATGAGGGCGATATAAGGTGTGAAAACCAACCCCGCTCTGACCGGCCAACTATCTTTTATAAAGCCGGCCAACTACCTTAAATAAAAAAAAGTATGACATTCCATTTAAAAAAAATTAAGGTGACCTTCTGATTCTTCCTAGTGATAGTGGTGGCACTTCTGTCTCCCAGGAGAAGGGATTGTGGTATTCCTTCCGAGGCCAGGAGCCGGACGGTATAGTGTTCAGCCTACTCAAAGACCAAGGGGTCTAGGGGTGGCTTTCCCGGGGTTCTGTTTATCCCGGCTTTCCACCCGGTCCAACTTTATTAGGCCCGGGCCACGTGGAGGTTCAAGTGTACTCGCTGTAGGATTCGGAGAGTCATTAGAACGGCCCATCCCTACCTAATTTGTAAGCTAGTGGAGTATGAACGTCGGGGAATCCAATCCTTCGTCTCTTAAGGTGAGTACGGTGAGTACCAGCTCACTTTTGTCTTCACCCGGAGGCGGAGTCTGCACACATGGAGATTTCATCGACGTAACGTCATCATCGAGAGAGAGCTAGATCGCCTAATCGCAACCCCGTAGCCAAAATTTAGATTCTTCCTAACCCAGACCTACAGAAAAACTATGTACATTATGTAATGTAGTCCTCTGTACCACAAAACTTTTGCAGAAACAATTTTTACATATTTTTACTCGCTTACGAAACACTTAACCGTCCTCACTTAACCCGGACACAGTGTATACTCCTATACCTTATAATTTAAAAAGGAGACAGATACACCTGAACATATATAAAGAGAAGGAATGTATTAAAGACTTTCCCACGATAACTTATTAACACTTTTTTATACAACTTATATTTATGTACCCCCGTGAGCAAACTCGACTTCCGTTAGGAGAAAAAGTGATGTAAGAGAAAGGCCTCCGACCACTTGTTCTCGGAGTTACTGAAGTTTAAGCCAAATTAACATTCGGTTTAACATTTATTTCAGTACTTGAAATAAATTTACCAAGTGGTAGGAAGCCCTTACCCCTACGCCGCTTTTTCCTCTAACGTATGATAGATATTTAAAAAATAATTTGTAGAGAATTATGGTGCAAAACTGTACACTCAACTACTCAGAATTTAGTTTCTTGTAAGTTAATACGTTCCATGTTTATTAAGATTTTAATGGAATATTCAAAGAATTTGTTTTCAAATATTCATTATAGAAGAAAAACTAATCGATTTCCTCAAAATGTATATACAGGGTGTTTACGGTATTACTAGCCAGCGTTTTTCTTGAAAAAATATATATTAGGAAAAAAATGAAAGACGAAAAAATTTTACAGCTTTTTCTGACCAACGTAGTAGTGTATATCAATTTTTTTCTATTTGCTATATTTTCAAGAAATGAAGATGTCCTTCAATTTTTTAAATAGAACGCTGTATATTTTTTTATGTCATATGAAAACTTGTGTCAAGACGAATCCACCCATATGCCATACAATCACATTCAAGGTCATACAAGGTCAGAAATTAAAGAAATATTTCGAATATTTCGTACCAATGTGTTTACAAGTATTCTTTATTGACAAGACTACAGTAAATGTTCAATATAATTTCCCTGTGCATGAATGCACATTTCTAGTAATGTTGTCCAAGATATTAATACATATGCTTGTGTCATTTTGTCTTTTAAATCGTTTACTTATACTACATACTCTAGATAGTGTATTGTAAACGATATCTTTTAACAGTGCCTCGTAAAAAGAAATTCAGAGGTGATAAATCTGGAGGATCTTGAAGGCCACTTCAAGAGGTCCGTCTGTTCCAATCCATTTGTCGTTAAACATGTTGTTAAGGTGATTTCTCACAATTCTGCAATTATGTGGTGGGGCTCCATCTTGTTAGAAATGCATATCTTAGGCAATGGATAGTGACTAATCTTCCCAATAGTCTTTAAATTGCGTATTTAGAAACTCTAAATATCTATCCCCATTTAATGTTCCACTATAAAAATATGCTCCAAATAGCACATTGTCAATTATGCCACACCACACACTTATATGAAATTACACTTGGAAGTTTTTTCTTTTCTCACTTTTGGATTTTCAATGCATCATATGTAGGCAATAAGAATGTTGCTCCTCATATTATTGTTAAAATTTTATTCGTCTGTCCAACGAATTTTTTTGTAAAAATTATAGTCGTTTCTATTATTCATACGTAACCAATCGCAAAACTCAATACACTACGGTAAATCACTTTCTTGTACCTCTTCTACTCTATGGTATTTAAAAGGTTTCTAATTATGTAATTTTCAAATTTTTTTATGCAAGTTGTCGTTGATTTTCTTTAAGATGCAGGAAAACTTCTATTTTTTCATCTTCATAAAGAAGACGATTTCCGATGATAGTTATTTTGAAAACACCTTCTTTCCTCCAAGCGCTTTGCATGTGAAACAAACTGACTTTCATTTGGTTACACTCTATCCAAATATTATTTTCGGTACTTCAATGTACTACCTTTTTTATTTCCATTATACTACTCTGATAGCGAATGACAACAAAAAATCAGTCACATTTAAGAAACTGAACTGTATCAATAAGAAATGCATGTAAACACACTAGTACGAAATATTCAAAATATTACTTTTACATCTGATCTTGTATATCCTTGAAGGTCACTGTATAGCATATGGATAAATTCATCTTGACACATGCTTTCATATGACATAAAAACATACAGGGCGTAACAAAAATGTTGGAGGACCCGGAAATGGAAGACTCGTGGAGTGATTTGAAACAAGTTTTTCCTTAGCAAAAATGTTATCCGAGGCTTTGTTAAATTAAGGAAAAACTGGTTTCAAATCACCTCACGAGACTCCCATTTCCAGGTCCTCCAACATTTTTGTTACACCCTCTATACAGCGTTCAATTTAAAAAATTAAAGGTCACCGTCGTTTCTCGAAAAATATTGCAAATATAAAAAATTGTTATATGCTACTACGTTGGTCATAGAAAACTGTAAAACTTTTTCTTCTTCCATTTTTTTTTCTAATACTTACTATTTTTAAGAAAAAGGCTGACTAATAATAGCGTGAACACTCTGTATGATAGGTATGCAACGCCTGAAAAAAATCGAAGCTTTAAAAGATCTCAAATTTTTCTTTACATCACTGGATTCTTTTCTTCATTTTTAATACGTAATCGTGCAAGTAGTAAGTAGAAACTGATTAAAAATATACGAACCTCAACAATATCGAGATCTTTGTAACAGTCGAGTTGAACCTGTGGCTCAATTAGTGGCCGTGTGCGTGGCGTTCCAGGTGCACAGGCCACTGCAGCTGGTACTGGACTAGATATCTGAGGCGAATCACTTCGTTTGCACAGCCTTTTCAATGGTGGAGGACTTGAGGCTGGTGGAGTTTTGCTATGGTCCTCCTCCAAACTTGGTGAGATTAGCCCACGTCCATTTGATGCATGTATGTTATTTGTTTTCAAATGCTACAATTATCAAATCAAAATGAAATTAACGCATTATTGATAAATACTTTAATATAAAGTACACCTAATTACACAAAATTTTTTATTAAACCTTTTGGCACAAGTTTAATTTATTACACAAACTCAAACACTTTTGTCCTCATGATTAGTTTCGTGGAAGTTAATAAGCATAATACAATTTTTACCTGTGTTTCATTTATTTTATTCCTGTTTAAATATTCAATACTTAATATTATTTGAAAAATTTCTAAGTATTTGAATTTTAACTATGATGAAATAATAATATTATTTCATACATATACTGTTTGTCAACAATTTCTAAATACAAACCTTTTCGTTGTTGTGCTGAATATTTTGAGAGTCGGTGAGGCCACGGATTTGCAGAGACTCAGCAGTTCGTAGAAATGTAGGCAATTCAGCTTGAGATATGTTAACTTCCCCAGCATACATAAACTCCAAAAGTGACTGTAGGTGTTCAAACTCCACATCTCTCATAAATATTATTGGATGCTTGCATGGATTTGTCTATAAACACACATTTATACATATACATATAAACCTAAATATAAAGGACGAATAATTCCTTTTCTCAAATCTTTTTCATAATATCTAACATAACAGTCCTCGAGACATTTATGAGTTATAATCTTTAAAATGCGAACATATAATAATATGCAAATACCTTTATGCGTAATCACCGAAAAAAAACTTGGAAAATATGTTCGTGCAATTTTGAGTGAGTTTCACAAATACGAGTAATCACAAAGGCTATAATAATTTTTTTATTTCCAACAATATTCCAATGTATACTTTATTGAAATATTTTGATAATCTGACTATTAAGTTGTTACTCATTTACTGATGTTGATCAATTACTGAATTTAATAATTAACAAATTCGTGAATAAACTGAACTTCCTTAAAATTGATTTTTAACTTTCTTTCTTACAACAAATTACCTTCAAAGAAAACATGAATGATCTTCTACTGTAATTAATTCTTGAAAACTGGAATTTTATATCTGCTTCTTCCCCAAACATATGTATGTTCTTTCTCGTCTTTTAAATCTACTCACTTGGTTAAATATTTAAGAAACACAGTAATCATGTTATCAAAATAAGTGAATTCAATTAAATTACATTTTAACTTCCACAAATAGGCTTGTATTATCAATATTAGTCATTATATAAATAACAATGTCAATTCTATGTGTGTAATATATGCTATTATAATTGAAGAATAAGGAAATTTAATAAATATAATCAACATAATTCATATAAAAAGCGAACATGGGAGTACACATTTCTGAGTGAGTTTTATGCAAATTAAAAATTATATCTTCGATATGATGTACTACAATTTAAATAATTATTATATAAAAACTATACAATAACCATATTTTTGTGACCTTCCTGTTCTTTTTATAACTTATATTTAGTCTATCTTCAAAGCAACAAAATGTATAGTGGAAGCAATAAATATATAGTGGAATAACTTACAAAGACAGAATGAACCTATCAATGTAGTTACTGTACAGTTTTTATTTTTCTATTACAATATATTGTGTCCTACAACTACAACATATATTGAAGATGTAATTCCTAGTTTACATAAAACTCACTCAGAAATATGTACTCTCCTGATAAGTTAATAAACTGAAATATAGTCAATTTTTGTATAAATAAAAATAAATAAAAACAAATACTTTGTAATGTTAAGTGTACCTGTTCACTCAATTCTACTTACAGTCTTGAACAGAACTGAACTGAAATGAATAGCCATTATTTCAAATATTTGTTAGAAAAATTATATTATGCCAGGCATAATAGAGATTCAGAAATATTATTTTGCAATACTTTATTACAATTATTTATAGAAAGGAAAACAGAAAATGAATACTATTGTTGTACAGACAGTATAATTGTACATCATGCCTCACTTATTTCTGAACTTTTTGAAACTGCTGCACAATTTATTACCATAAATGTAGCAGTAATATGATAAATTTACAAAGTACAAAAACTGAATCTTTGAAATGTTTAATTTCCTGACACATGTCTCCCAAGCACTTTTATTTCTTCGAATATGTTCTAGTAGTCTGTATAGTTTATACCTTGATTTTTCACCCCGAAGACGCAGATAGTTTTGATTTTGATGGTAATGTAAACAGCAGAGCATGGGTCTGTTTAGTTTCTCATGCATCATTTCTTTTAAAGCATTTTTATACAGATGTCTTTTTTTCGAATTAATATAAACTACTACCTTAAATTACTTATAAGTAGCTATTGAGATGGATGAAGTTCCTTAAAACTCAAGTCAAAATGGACCCACTTACCACCATCCGAGGGTTAAAAAGTAAACTGATACGTCTTCAAAAACTATTTATATTTTAAAAAATAAATAAATATTGTGTTACAAGAAGTTCAAACATTCTTCTTTAAATTACGGATTATTTAACCTCATATTTTAATTTTAAGACAGTGTAAAAAAATGTAGAGTATACTCAATACTTTATAATTTAAAATTTTTAATGCACATTATAATTTAAGTCACTTCTAATATTAATATTAAAGTGCTTTTACAATGTTACAAACAAAAGAAACAAAACAATGATGAAATTGTACAATGCATTAATAAATGACAAATTGCAGGTAAAAAAATAATTTTAGTAGTAATTAGTCAGAAAAATGATAAACTACAGACTCATAAACTTCTATTTAATACAGAAAGTGGCCAACAGTAATAGTAAAAAGTATTATAATTTACATTATACTCAATGAATAACATTCATGTTTGTTAAATATCAGTTTCATCCACAATCATCTGTGAAATCATGTTCTATTACTGTAAATGAAGGAATCAGGTATGAGATTTGAAATGTTTATTTTTATTAAAAGTAGCAAAAAGAAAGGATGGTTAAGAAAAAAGAAAAAAATATTCCACTAGCTTCTGCAGTCTTAACGTATAGTTAAAACCTACAGAGCACATGATCGATGATTAATTCTGATAAAATATAAATCAAATAACAATAATTAAATAGATTATATGTTAGAAATTGCATGTCTTTCATTAATTATTAATCATTAATTTAATGACATTAACAAGAAAATTTAATTATTATTTATCATATATATTCCGTATTTTTATGCCTTATGCTTGTTATGTTATTGTTTAGATAATTATAATATATAGAAATTGATTTCTACTTTAACAATATGCTTTTGATTTTTACAAATAATAGTGTAATAAGTAACAGTGATTTATAGTCCAGAATTTTAAACTTATAATAAATTATTAATAATTCAACTGTTTTTTATGACAGATTGATATTAAACAGATAACAATAGAACCAAATTTTTAACTTTATACAAATCTTTAACAGGAATATATGTACAATGATATGATTGAATATGTAGATACTAAAATGTATATCATAAACATTCTGAATTGAATCCTACAATAGACCGTAAGATGTGATTAATAACTACTACCACAACTGTTTACTTCTTTATGTACTTAAATTCTCCCTTTTTATATCAGGTTATATAATGTAAAAGATTTCAAACTTACAATGAAGTAGAAAAAACTAACCACAATTATACTTTTCTTAATTGTAATTTAACAGTTAACATTATATTACATTATGTATAAATCATAGGTTTTATGCACTTTAGCATATAACGTTCAATTTTATTTTTAATATAATAAATCTCTCAATAAATAAGCTGTATCTAATTAATCCTAGTTTGTGGAAATTTGTCTATAGAAGTGGATATGCAGATTTATATTTTTATTCAGAGTGTTTCTGAGCTTACATTTAATACTTTACTCTAAAGAAAAACAGTAAACTACATAAACACTGCAAACACATGTATACAGTTTGAAAACATATGTATGTTGTATACAAATGAAAGGCCATCTCAGTAACTACATCTCTGTTTCATATTACATTATTAATTTCTACATTTATTAAACTATTATAGCCTATAATATACAAATAATATATTAACGATGCATTACAATAAAATCGGATCAAATCAAAACGGACTTCAAATATTAATAAACAAACAAGTGATGTGCAATAGCAAGTAGCTTATGCAAAACATGTATGAAGCTGCTGCACGGGAGGAACATCACGCATACACATACACAGAGGCGTCATATATACATTCGTACACATGTACATGAGAATTTTGAGCAAGTACTTTAATTTCGACCGCATCGAAATCAAAGCATGATTCTCAAACAAGGTAAGAATACTCGGCTAAGAGGTAGGGAGGGGGGGAATATCAAGCAAATAGCACCGAAAAGAGAAGCAAGGCGGGGAAGGTTTTCTAACCTTGAACAACTCCTTGAAGTAAGGGCTGCACGCGGAGAGGACAACCTTGTGCGCCTGCAGACGCCTACCATCGCAGGCGAAGGTGACATCAACAAAGTCTTCGTCATCCCTGAGGGCTTCGAATTGGCTGGTGATATTAGCTTGAAAGTTGTTCCAACGCAAGCAAAACTGCTGCTGACTATCCGTCATTCTCCTCGCTCGACTCCCTTCGACCTCCTCTGTCTCCCTCACTCTTAACCTGAGAGCCCCCCACCACCCACCCTCTGTCCGTCTCTCTTTTACTTTCACCTTCTTCTATTTCTATCCTTATTCCTCTTTCTCCTTCTTACTGGCAGCACCGTTGTCTTTCCTCGTCGCACACTTTGACTTCTCGAGTATATCTTTCTTTGCCTGTCTTTTTTCCTTCTTCCAGGAGACAATTTAAGAATTTTTCAAAAATAATCAATTATGGAAGATTCATCGAGACGAAGAGGGTGAGGGTGGCTTCGCAGGTTAGGGTAGCCTGTTTTAATGCACCCTCGTGCCAGTGGTTTCAGATGAGGCTCCCATTACTCTGGAAAAAAAATGGCAGGTGCAAAAAGTGCAATCGATGACTGAAGAGGAAATGTGTGCGTGGGGAGAATCGATAGACGGCTTACCAACGTGCGAACAAGAAATGAAGTAAATTTCCCTGCGTAGTACTTTTTATCCGTTTTTACTAATTTTTTTAAATAGTAGTGTTTTTCCTTCTTTACAGATATAATGTGCCCCTTCCTAATGTACATTAAATTACTACCATTTTAATCACATTTACAACGACATAATGAAAAAAATTTATATCCAAAAGTCCAGTCCATTAAGTTACTAGAACTTCATGTAGAAATTGTCTACGATTTAAGCCAAAAGAAGATATAATAAGAGGCGACACTTAGTGGTGGATACCCTCGCGAGCAAACTCGGTTTCCGCTAGGGGAAAAAGTGGCGTAAGAGAAAATCCAACATAAATGTAACATAAATTTCAGTAATTTCCGATACCAAGTGGTAGGAGGTCCTTGTACCTACTTTGCATTTTCCCCTAGAAAAAGCCGAGTTTCCTCGCGAAGGTACGTAAAATACGCATGGTATAAAGCCCGCAACACATGGTGCTTATTTTCTTGCAGTCTCGTTTGCTTGGAGTGTGCATAATAATTATAATAGACTGCGTGTTTTATGGTAGGGATGAAGCGAGATCGAGGGACAGAAGTAGCGCTGGAGTAACTCCTCTCTTGCTCGCACATCTCAAAGGGAGGGGAGAAAGCTACTGGCGGGCGACGAGGAGAAGAAATCTACATGCGTGTATGCTTCCACCAGCAGCCCCATTAGAAAGAGAAGAAAGCTAGTTCAGTTATTGTCCTCTTTCTCTAGTGCCGATTTTATTCTTACCATAAGACCACGCTCTATTATATATGTCCATGATTTATGCTCACAACTTCGGCCCGCCGGCTCCTCAATTACCCTTAACCAGCTTTTGGTTTACCGCCTATCTTTCAAATATTAAAATTATGTAGTACTGAAATAATACCAACCGTATTATTTCAAATAATATTAATATTATCGGGGATGAAATTATACAATTGTTTATAGAATGTTAGAATTTATTCACAAATGCAGTTTCGAGATAATATGCATTGTTTAGTAAATTATCTAATAATGGTTTAAGTTTTCCTAATCCTTTACAATCTAATAAAACCATTTTTCTTTCTATCTACTTTGTTCATATAATGAAAATTATAAGACATAATTGATTAAATTTAAAACATGTTTAGATAAAACTGTCATTTTTCCTGATTTTATTTTATTCAAACGAAGTAAAATTAGCTAAGTATAATAATTTACATATGGTTATGATTTTGAAAAACATTTCATTGCTAAGGAAGCTTAATTTAACCTTTATTTCAGTACTTGAAATTTTACCAAGTGGTAAGAGGCCCTTCTTCTGCCTTCTCCTACGCCACTTTTCCCCTAGCGGAAGTCAAGTTTGCTCATGAGGGTACTTAACATGGCTACAAGGTTGATGCAAGATCTGGTCTAGGTTCTCCCCTGTGTGGCGGGGGACAGAATACGCCCACGGTAATCCCTGCCTGTCGTAAGAGGCGACTAAAAGGGACTGTTGGGACCGCGGGACTGTGGCACCCGCGGTTCGGTGGGGGGGGGAGCTCTGCTTCCCCCACCACAGAGAGGGCGCTCTGCCGTCCACTGGCGGAGCGGGCGCTGGGGAGGTACCGGTCGTGTTCGCAAGAGATCCCGGTGCCTCCCCGCACAGCGCCGAGCCCGGCCACCGTGAGGTTTTAGTGGGTATCCCTCCCGGACATACAGTCCGGGGGGTGAGTCCCACACTACCCCCGCCCCCTCCCCGTCGGGGGATGCGGGGGTGTGCGTAACGCATTTCCTCACGAAAAAAAAAAAAAAACAAAAAAAAAAAAAAAAAAAAAAAAAAAAAAAAAAAAAAAAAAAAAAAAAAAGATCTGGTCTAGGTTATAAATTGACCTAGGTTAGTTGGTTTGGGTTGTATTGCAAGACTTGCTGTTAATTTACTGCCAATTTGCTTTACCATTTCGCCAGGTAGGCTTTGCCTGCAAAACCCACGTCAAATGTGGAAACATATGGCAATGGTTTTTTAGACTTTTGTCATTATATGCTGGCAGTTTGCTCGAAATTTGCACACAACTAGTTATCACGGGTGTAGTTCAAAACAGGAGTATATAATTATATGCTAATGGTTTTACTTCAAACTTTTGTAAATTATGGACACTATTTTTTACTATTTTATAATCAAAATTGGAAACGAAATATGGCAGATTTTTTACATTGTTTCCTTACAAATTCACTATTTCAGATCCATATATGTATATCCCTGATAACCAGTTGTGTACATATTTCGAGGAAATTGTCAGGAATAAATGACAAAAGTTGACTAAAAAACCATAACCATCTGTTTCCGCATTTGACTTGGGTTTTACAGGCACCGCCAACTGACAAAATGGTAAAAGCAAATTGGCAGTAAATTAGCAGCAAGTCTTGCAACACGACGCCTATGTCAAATTGTTGGCAAAACCGGAACAAGGTTTGCGCATGCCCAATTTGCTGCATTTGCTGTATATGTAAAAAGTTGCAATTATTTAATTTTTGTCTGTGATTCTCAAGTTATCAGAGTTAAACTTAATTATTTATCGTAAGTTATTCTACTATTACTTATTTATGTCGTCAAGTTATATTGTCGAAAAATTTTAGGAATTATAAAAATGTATACATGTATATTCATAATATTTATGAATGATGTATCAAAATTACCTATAACATTTGCCTTAATTTTTCTACATCTACTAATGATTAAATTCTTCATGTAAATATTTATCAGACGTTACATCATTGTATAGAAAGAAATGATTAACATTATACAATATGTAAAATATATTTATTATATCGTACAACTGAATTACGACTTTTTATAGATAACAATTGAACAAACTTAAATCGTAACTACTTAGTCACCAATTATAGAAACTTAAAGGAGTGACACATAGTATATTAGTTATTTACTCTCTGTGTACTAATTGAATAAAATTATGATTAATACAAATATAATAAAAGAATGTAAAACAGTTTAAGTTTTTTGTACTATCCTGATAACCAGTTGTGTACACGTTTCGAGCAAATTACCAGCAATAAATGACAATTGTTTCAAAAAATCATAGTCATCTATTTCGGCATTTGACTTGGGTTTTGCAGGCAACACCGACTGACAAAATGGTAAAGCAAATTGGCAGAAGGTCTTACAACATGACCTATGTCAAATTGAGGGCAAACCGGAACTAGGTTTGCGCAAGTCCATTTGAAGTTCCATTTTTTTCAGGCATTGGACAAAATGTGGCTTTGCATGGTTTGACTGACTGGGTATTTAACTAATTATAAATAATTTAAAGTAAATATTAACAGAATGTGACGTAGAATTATAATAAAAGATTGAACACAATGAAATTAATGGATAATAAAGTTTAAAAAGTATATATAGTTTCTAATACTTCAAATGTATAGTCGTATAATTATTTTTATGGCTATAAACATATGATATAAAACTTTGAATGTATACAGTAAGAAATAAACACTAAGACGAAAATTCTTCCGTGATTATAGATAGTTGTACATCATTCCATATAACGTAAATTCAAATAATTTTCATCACCCGGTATATGATCGCCTTCGCAGCTTCGGGCAGCTTCGGGCCGTCATGGACGCCCGAATTTTCTTCGCAAAATAATTCTTTAAACAAATGTTCTGATTGTATCATCGCGGCAAATGTGAATAATATTTTACGATAACACACTGAAATCCTAGAGAATTAACAATTATGTGACACACGCAGAAAATGTCGGTAAGACAGGTGAGTCAGATCTTCGTGTTTTATGTTCTATTTCCTTGTCTTTCTAATGTGTTTTCGTTTTTCTCTCTAACATTTTCCGAATGAAACTTTGACAAAGACCTATGAAAAACATTGTAAAATATAAATCAATGTAAAAATTGTGATCATTGTTTTTAACCTTGTTTCGAAAGGTTACTGCGGACAACTTAATCGATACATTGTCCTCGAATTTCATTTCCTCGTGTAATAAAGAAAATCATGAACTTTTTTCTAATCATATGTATCTTGTCATTTCTTAAATTTTGTTTTAATGGAAAGATATTTCGATTCTTATGTCTAAATAGTGTATTGTAACAGGCAAGAGGTAACTGTAACCTTTATTAGGTTAACCTTTCTTTGAAATACCTTTTTATATATTAATATTAATCACTTTTCTTAAATATGTTGTGAGTTTCATTCATATTATTTTGGTTTTAATTCTAATATTAGAAGGAAACATGGTTTTGGATAATGATCTGGTTAAATTTTCTAATGTGATACAGTTTCATTGAGTTTAGTTTCATAGGTACTTAGTTCTGAATGTTATGTTACTATCAAAACTGCACAAAATAATGTACTAGTTCTAATAATATTATAATGATTTGTATTATAATCTTACGTATCACAAATATAGAATGATATGATAAATTCACTTTATTGTTAACAGAACTAATGCATATATTGCTTAAATACTATATATTTCATTTTCATTTAGTTTACAACAATAAATATATTTTTAACACTTTTGTAAAATGTTATTAGTTTTAAACATTACCTACTTTTGATTCTTAAACAGATATGTAATTCGTCATAATATAAAATATTAAAATATGTACAGAATCTTTCTTAGGATATGTTTTACTTTCATATTAAAAAAGTGCATAATTTTATTTTGTTATATATATTACAATATTGCATATATTTTTCATACCAATGTTATTTATTATTGTTATTGTCTGTTATGATATTAATGTTATAGATCTTTATTTTTACACTATCAATGTTATAAGTTGTAATGTATGCATTCTTTACTGGAGATCTAATCACTTAGATCTAAAGATTCTAATCTAAATAATAAGATTTAAATCTATGAAATACTCTCAATGACTTATATAATTAAGCGATTTGTATTTAACTTAAAGCTATCAGTGCTTGTTAGAA